GCATGCCACGTACGCGTACATCCAGTCCGCTGGCCCCACACCCTGTTGTTTGTGGTCCTCTGTGAGGCAGGAGCTCGAGAGCGTTCGCAACTTGTTGCCATTGTTATGCGTGGACCTGCAGGCTGATTGGCATCCCTACGTTGCGTGTACAGACGCGTCGCCGTTCGGTCTTGGGGTCGTCCGCCGCAAGATGAGCCCGGTCCAGGTCCAGGAGCTAGGTCGGCAGAAGGAGAGGTTCCGTTTCAAGATCGAGGGTGGTGCTCAGGCCCGTCGTAGGGCCTTGGAGGAGGTTGGGATGGACGAGGAGACCAAGATGATCTTGGAGCGGGAGGAGGGTCCTTTGTGGGCCTTGAACGAGGAGGAGCCAGACCCGAGCACGGGGGAGTTCTTGGAGGTGCCTAGGCAGCTTCTGCGTCCGGGGTGCTGGAGCTGTGTATCGGCCACACATGTCGAGATGGGGCCCAACATCCTGTTTCTTGAGGGAGAGGCCCTGGTCATGGGCTTCAAGAACGTCCTGAGGAGCTGCAAGGCCCACGGTCGTCGTATCCTGATCCTCTCGGACAACCTTCCCCTGGTATTGGCAGCGGGCAAAGGACGGGCCAAGTCAGTTCACCTACGACAGTGTCTGTATCGTATATGTGCTCTATCGCTGGCAACGGGCTCGAGACTCGCCGTCCGGTGGGTTCCGTCTGAGCTCAACCCGGCCGACCCGGTCTCCAGAGGCGAGGTCGGCTGGTTCTCTGGCGCGCGCTCATATGGCCCGTCCTGGCCGCATGGCAGCCTCGCGGTTGGTGCTGCTGACGCTGGGCGCGGGCTGCGGGCTCCTGCTGCCGCCCTGCGCGCAGGGGGCGCGGACGTCCCGGGCGCCGGCGGCCTCCGCTCTGAAGCGCGAGCGGGCCCAGGCGGCTGCACAGGTGGCTCGGGCCGCGCTGCGGTTCACCGGGCTGTCGACCCTGGAGAATGCCGCGATCCTGCCCTCGACGGCCAAGAACTACCAGATGGCTCTCGAGGCCTTTGCGGCCTTCTGCTCGGCGCGCCGCCGGGACTGGAGCTCGACATCGGAGCTGGACGCGCTGCTGGTGGAGTACTTCGACCAGATGTACCTCCTGGGCGAGAACGGCAACACGGGGTCCCAGCTCCTGGCGGCGCTCAGCCATGTAATGCCGGTCTTGTACAAGGCGGTGCCTCGGGTGCTGCCGCGGGCCAAGCGGTGTGCCATCGCGTGGGCCCGCCGGGCTCCGGCACACACGCGGCTGCCGCTGCCGAGGTGTGCCTGCTTTGCGATCGCGGGCATGCTGGCCAGCTGGGGCCTGGCGCGAATGGCCATCTGCGTGATCCTGAGCTTCCTGTGCTACCTGCGGCCTGGCGAGGCGCTCCGCCTCCGGGGCCGCAGCCTGGTCCAGCCAGCCGCGGCCGCGGGGCAGGTGTACGACAAGTGGGCGCTCCTGCTGCACGACGTGGTCGATCGTGTCCCGAGCAAGGTCGGCCTATTCGAGGAGTCGGTGATCATCGACAACGCGAGCTGGCTCTTTCGGATCCTCGAGGCCTTGAAGCTGGCCACGCCAGCCGAAGCCTCTCTCTGGGATTTCGACCTCGGCGAGTACAAGAGGGCTTTCGGCGAGGCGGCCAAGCACCTGTCGCTGAGCCGCCTCCGCCCGCACCTGTACTCGCTCCGCCACGGGGGGGCCTCGGAGGACATCATCCGCGGGCTCCGTACGCCGGAGCAGGTGCAACGCAGGGGCAGATGGGGCCACAGCAGCAGCATGAAGCGGTACGCAAAGGAGTCGAAGCTACTCGCCGAGCTGCACTGGGTTCCAGCCGCCACGCTGTCGTTCGGCAAGTTGGTCGAGGCGAACTTCAAAGCGGTGATCGAGGGCGCCCTGGCCAGCGGCCCACATCCGCTGCGCTCCCAGCTGCCCGCCGCCCTGGCCAGCCTGGTCGGCGCCCGACCCAGCCTGGCGGCGGCGGCCAGCCGCGGCCGCAAGCGGCGCCGCCGCTGATAGCGGCCCCAGGGGCCGTGCGGGCCCACATGCTGGCTGCTTTCCGCAAGGCTGTAGGCGCGGGGCGGCTGCACAGGCGGTTCGTCTTCGTCGAGCTGTTCTGCGGCAAGGGCTGCATCACGGCAGCGCTGAAATCTGACGGCTTCTCGGCAATCGGGTTCGACATCGGCCGCGGTGCTCACGAGAATCATTTGGTGCATGAGTTTTTTGAGGTGCTTCATGGATGGGTCACATCCGGCTGCATAGCCGGCATCTGGCTCGGGACGCCTTGCACGACGTGGAGTCAGGCCTTGCGCCGGCCTCTGCGCTCGCGGCGACATCCCATGGGGCTGCCTGGGCTTTCGGCGAGCGAGCTGGCGAGGCTGGAGGTGGGCAACTCGACCTTCAAATTCACGTGCAAGGTCATCCGCCTCGCTATGAAGTGGAAAGTTGCTGTGTACCTTGAGAATCCCGCGGGCTCCTTGATGTGGCACGCTCCTGAACTGGCCCGGCTTTTGCGGGCGCCTTACGCCCAGAAGATCCAGCTTCACATGTGCCAGTACGGGGCGCCGTGGCGGAAGGCGACCAGCGTCGCCGCCTGGAATTCGCTGCCGTTGCTGAACCTCAGTATCCGTTGCTCTGGTCGATCAGGTATTTGCTCGATGTCTAAAAAACCACATGTGATCCTGTCCGGGCACGCCCCTCACGGTCCTCACTTCACTCGTCTGGCGGCTGAGTACCCCAAAGCTTTCGCCCAGAAGTTCAGTCGTGTGATGCAGCGATCGTTCGAAGATAAACGTGCTCGGAGGTTTTCAAAGTATGCTGTTGATATGGCATTGGGTTCATAAGGAAGTTATTCGGCCTCCTTCTGACTATCGACCAGTCGGCCAGCTCACCATATGGGTATGGGTGTGTGCTCTCGGCTCGGCGTTCCTCGGCATCGATGTCTCGAAGTCACTTGCCTGGTCAGCCCCTCGCACAAAAATGAGCCTGGCGGGAGAGAACGGTAGGCGAGCTGTCACATTTTACATGTTTAGGCATAGCCCATCCTGGATCCCGCCGCAACTGCCACGCTCAAGTCTTCCCTCCCTCCCCCCCCTCTCTCGCGTGCCTCTGTGGGTGTGTGTCTGTGCTGTGCTTCTCTCTCCGTTCCCTCCTCTGTTATATTGCTCAGCAAGCTGTCAACGCAATTTCTTTAAGCAGGGTGTGTGCTCTCGGCTCGGCGTTCCTCGGCATCGATGTCTCGAAGTCACTTGCCTGGTCAGCCCCTCACACAAAAATGAGCCTGGCGGGAGAGAACGGTAGGCGAGCTATATATATTCAGGGCGTAGGTGCAAACAAGGCTTAAACCGCCCATGCCTGTCACCAGCCTGTAGCGGGATGATCTCTATTGGATCTCAGTTGGGTTCCATTAGGTCATTTTCGAAACCACAATGATAGCAATAGGACGCCAATCTGGTTACACTATGACTCAAAGAGGATCGGTTCTTGTTGGGCCACAGTTGGGTCCTGATGGGATCCCAATCGTATGCCCGTATGGGCCGAAAAGGAAGGATTCCGATTGGATTCCAGTGCGATGTCCGTCGTATTCGCCAATCTGGTTCCGATGAGATTCCAAGAGAAACGGTTCATACTCTTTTCGAATAAGAACCCAAAAAGGATTCCCATGGGGTTTCCATGTAGTACCCCAAAGGGTTCCCCGCAGCATTCCAATAGGACGGCTCCTCGAGCGTAACCCAATGGTTTTTCCAATCGGCTTCCATCAGGAAAGGCCCCAAAGGGTTTTAAGAGGAAACGTCCTCATCGGATTCCACTAGGGCACCCGTGGGCCCCATAGCGAGGAATCTTGTTGGATTTCAATGGGATTCATCAGGTACCGACAGGATCCCAGTGGGAAGGGCGCCAATCAGGAATCTGCCACTTCACCGGTTCTTGCTTCAGACGGGTCTCTTTACAACCAACACGCTCCAGAGAGCGAAGTGGTTCCCTTACGTGGGCCCACGGACATTTCGGAAATTGCAGAACATATGTCGCTCATATGCGTTTAGAGGCCTGGTTGTAAAGTCGCCTTCCTGGTTGTCAAATTCCCTTCTGGGAAAACCCATGCTGGTTGTGAGTGCCCCATCTGGTTGTAAAGTGGCAGTTCTGGTTGCAATGTGACCCGCACGCGCTCCTGCCCCCCCCCTTCCCCCTTCCCCCCTTTGGTGTCGAGCAGATGCAGTGCCTGTCACGTCCTGCGAGCGTGTGGCGGATACGGGGAACCACCCCTATGCGCCCCCCCGCTTGTGTCGAGGATTTGTCACGCCTGCCACGACCTGCGAGCGTGACACGGATATAGGAACCACCCCCTGCGCACCCCTTCTGGTGTCCTGGGAGTTCAGCGTCTGTCACGCCCTGCGCGCGTGATACGGAAAGGGGACTCCCCTTGCGCACCCCGTTGGTGTCGAGGAAGTGCAACGTCTGCCACGCCCTGCGAGCGTGACGCGGTTAGGGGACCACCCCCTGCGCACCCCGTTGGTGTCGAGGAAATGCCACGCCTGCCAAGCCCTGCGAGCGACACGCGGTGCTGAATGTATGCGACTTGGTCCGATTGGCTGGATACGTGAACTCATGGAGGTAGGTGTGGTACAGCTGTCCAGGGGGTGACATACGTGACATGACTCCTGGTGACCACATATGGAAATAGCTGGCTGTGAGCTACTTCTAGAGGTAGCGGTTGTTAAACAAGGAATTATGCACGATGCCACATTTGTTTTGTCGTTCCGAGGTAGTTCGAGCAATCATGTATCCGAGGAGGTGTGCGTAGGAATGCGTCCATCAAGTTCAGAAGGACCTCGAGAGAGGTCGGTGGACAGTCTGAGCCCTTGCAATGCCTGCAGGAGTTGAGAACAGAAATGTGCCATTGGCCTGTTTGATGTGCGTTCGCGCGGGCTGGATGCATATATTTTCACGTCTTTGCTATGGTTTAGTGAATTAGATATTTGGGCTGCGATCTCATCCATGCAAGGGACGCGGTTCCGTAGCTAGTTTAGCTCAAACGATTTTTCAGTTGAGCACTTTGTAAGTGATTAAATCGGAGGGAGAGCATGCCGAGTCGCCACCTCGGCGCCGCTTGCCAGCGCGGCGTAAAATTCTTATGCCTCGCGGTCGGCATCACCGCCTCGGCCAGCGGCGTCACCATGGACATCAATGATACCTCCGTGCTCCGAGTTGCCATGATATCGGACCTGCAAGCTACCAGCAAGGATGAGTCATCTTTCTCAACTGGCTTGAAGTTTGGCATGCAGTACATCAGAGACCATCTGGGCGGAATGTCCGTGGGAGGGGCATCAGGGCCAAAGCTCCAAATCGAGGTGATCGAGTACGACTCAATGGGCGACACAACCAACAGTGGGCAAGTCGCCGATATGGTCGCGCTGGCTGCCAACGGCCTGGACATGAATAGCAACCCAGTGGGCGACATTGATGTGATCGTGGCGGCCACAAGCTCGACGAACGTGGCCGTAATCAACAGTGCCGAGGATGTGTTCATCCCGAATGTCCACGCCGGCGGCGGGAATCCCGCCATTTGGACCACCGACAACACCTACGCGTTCGGCATGCACCTACCGTTCCCCGAGTACACCAAGGGGCCGATGAAGCTTTTCCAGCTGCATGGCATGAAGACCATTGGCATCATCAGATCCGAGAGCTTTGGCTTTGCCAAAATCTCCACAGTTCACGCGCTGAAATGGGCGCAGCAGGCGAATCTCACAGTCGTGGGGCCTACTGCTGACTGGTGCATCAGCAACGCCGACTATTACAATACCTGCAGGCTCGTTGACGGCAAGTGCCGCTGCGGTGAGCAGGACATCGCCGACGATTTCAATTTGGGCATCACGGTCACGGACGGGCCCACATTCTACGAAATCGTGGATGACGGTAGTAAGCCTGGGCCCTGCACAGCTAGCGGGGACTGCTCACGAGGACTGCACAACACGAACCTCACGAATTTCCACAGGCGCGCTATCCAGGACATGAAGAGGCAGGGCGTTCCAGACGTTCTCCTGAACTTCGCCCACGGGTACCACAACGTCGTGCAGGCCATGGTGGAAGAGGAATTCGCTCCCAAGGTCGTGGTGGGCTGGCAGGGTGGAACGACAACGAGCTGGGCCATGGAGGCTACGGACACCTTGCAGAAGCCGCACGGTTACTGGAACGTGGGGTTTGGCCAGTGGCACAAGGCGATGGCCTACACCGACCCCGTGTTCGGATCCACGGCAGAAGCAGTGGAGAAATTCGAGAGTGCGGACTACAGCGCGTTCCACAGCGGGAAGGACGGGAGTGAGCTGGGCTACGACACGGCTGGAGGAGTTGCCACGGCGGTGGTGCTGTACCAGGCTTTGAAGCAGTACGTAGATGCGGACTTCGTAAACATGTCGAAGCAGGAAAGGCGCGATGCGCTCCGAAACGGGATCGGCGACATGAATGATGAGACAATGTGGGGGGTCGTCCGCTTCAACCGCTACAACCAGAACAATGGCCGCGGCACAGCTGCTTTTCAGATCGTAGCTGATACTACCAAGTGGCCAGTCTCGGACGCGAAGCAATTGTGCATCCTGCCATCTGACGCCGCGGAGACTTCTCTCGTGATACCGTTCGCCACTTGGGATTCGCGCTTCACGGGCTGCTCGAACGGCACGTACAACACCGGGGCTGAGTGTGAGCCTTGTCAGGCGGGCAAGGCGATGTCCGCTGAGTCGCCTGGCTTTTTCGTGGATGGGGAAGAGCCGTTGAGAGACTGCGAGGAGTGCGAGCAGGGTAAGTACCAGACCGATGTTGGGGGGGCGATGTGCCTCGACTGCAGCGCCAACTCCTATTCGAGCGCCACTGGCATGTCCGCCTGCACCCAGTGTTCCGCGGGCAGAATGCAGCACCTCACCGGACAGACGAGCTGCTACAATTGCGCGAAGGGTACTTTTTCGAACGTGACCCTGGACGAGTGCGAGCCGTGCGCGGCAGGCACGTATGCGGATTCCACCGGGATGGAGGCGTGCTTGGCATGCCCCAGCGGTAAAGCGATCGGCGAGCCCGGACAGTCCGCCTGTATGAATTGCGCGCTTGGCAAGATCGCGATTACGATGGGGATGGTTGAATGCGATGCGTGCCCAGGCGATCTGACGACGCAGTACCCTGGTTCGACACTGTCGAAGGAATGCCAGTGTCCAGAGGGCAAGTACAGGGACAAGGCCGACCGCACATCTTGCCGCGACTGCCCTGAAGGGATGACCTGCGCCTTCGGGTCAGACGAGATCAACTGGGACCTCGCAGGCTCCCGCAGGCTGACGATGAGTGACGCGGGCCCTACGACACCGCAGCTGCAATCGGGCTTCTTCTCGGCAGAGTCGTCCCCACTTTCCGTCTACAAGTGCCCGCTCGAGGACGAATGCTCTTGCCCGGGAGGCGACCCTGGAGACTGCTCTGGGGAAGGAGAGAAGGCGCGCGTGGGCCTGCTCTGCTTCGACTGCCAGGAGGGCTTTGTGCGCACGGAGTGTGGCTGCGAGGAGTGCTCGCCCATGAGTATGGTTGGCATCGTCGTGCTTCCCATTATCGCCTTCGGTGGCTGCATCGTGCTGTACTACCTCGGGAACTCCACATACAGCATTAAAGGATCCATATCTTTGACGTTCTTCATATTCGCGGGGTTAGTGATCACCGTACTCTGGTTGTGCGCCATCATGAACGATCTCGCGGTTCCCTGGCCAAAGGCGCAGAAGTCGGTTTTCAAGGCGTTGTCGATCTTCGCACTGAACCCAGACGCGTTGAGACTCGAGTGCAGCATCGGCACAGACCCAGTCCTGTCGTACACATTGCGGTGCGCCCTCCCGATCGCCATCATCCTCGCGGTCGTGATTTGCCACGGTGTTTCCAAGGCGGTCGCCCTCGCCAAGCCGGCGCTAGGTTGGGATGTCAACAAGTCGATCAACACCGTCGGGGCAATTTTCCAGGCTTTGTTCATCCTAATTGTGGTGATCGGCGTCACGCCGCTGAACCATTACTCCCACCCGAACGGCATGCAGAGCTTGGTCACCTCCCCGACGGTCATGTATGGCGAGTCTGGTGACTGGGAGGTCTTTCTGGGACTTGGTATTGTCGTGCTGATGGTCTTTGTGGTCCCGTTCTTCGCCATCACCGTGTGGGCGACCGTGAAAGCGCCACAACTCATGACGCAAGAGTCCTTTCCTATTCGTTTCCGCTTCTGGCTGTATCGTTTCCGTCCAGACTGCTGGTGGTGGGGTATCCTGCTCAATGTGCGGCAGCTCCTTCTCGCGTTCGTCTCATCGGTGCCGGCCGACGATCCGCACTCACAGTCCACCTACTTTGTGATAGTTTTGGGGGCGTACCTGATCCTGCAGACGAGGTATTGGCCATGGAAGAACCATGAATTGAACATGGCGGAGGCCTCTTTGCTGGCACTGGTCATGTTCATGATGAAGTCCGTGACGGCCTTCATGCCGACCTCAACTGAAGACCACCATTCCGGATTGCTTACGTTCTTCATGGTGCTGGTTGTGGTGGAGATCAATGTCATTTGTGCACTGATTGGTTGGGCGTTCTACAACAAGGTGGATTTGGGCGCAGAGTTTTCGTTCCGCACTGGGGAGAACTTGCAAGAGAAGCTGGCCGTCCAGTGGCAGGAGCTCGTGAAAGTGTGCCACAATCTCGATGACGGGGAGACGAAGGGCATCTTCAAAGGCATGAACAGCTACGATGTCCAGACTGTCCTGCAGTCCATCAACGCCTTCCACGCAGCAGCGCCACAAACCATTCCACAGGTAAAGACGAACAGTCTCATGAACGACATGGCGTTGACGCGCGTCATCTCCAAAACAGAGGTACAGGCAGATGAGAGGCGCCGGTCGTCAAGGAGCAGCCAGGCCAGCTTGGGAGATCCGGTTCCTGAAGCGTCAAGGAGCAGCCAGGGCGGCCAGGGAGATGCGGTTCCTGAAGCGTCAAGGAGCAGCCAGGCCAGCCAGGGAGATGATGCGGTTCCTGAAGCGAGTGAAGCGGTTCCTGAAGCGAATGAAGCCTGAGGCAGAACCAGATCAGGCAGCTCATATCAGTGAGGCAGGTCCTGGTCCAGCAGTTGAGGACCAACCCGTTGCTGCGTCCGTGATGTAGCAGCACAAGAAGGTGATGCCATTCCACCGACCCCCAGAAGAGGCGGGGAGTCCACTGTTGAGGCGTCGTGGGCTTCTTGGGCACTATCTGGGGACTCTTGTGGGCGTCTCAGGAGCTTTTTAGGGGCCTGGTGAGGCCTCTTGGAGGCAGTTTTGAAGCGTCTCGTGGGCCGTCTTGGGGCCTCTTTCGGGCCTCTTGGGGTCCACATCTTGGGGCTTATTGGGGGCCTCCTTTGGGCCGCTTGGGGGCTTCTAGGGGTCCTTGGGGGGCCTCTTCGGGCGGAAAGATAAGACTTTCGGTTCGTGGTGGCCCTCTTGGCCTCTCTTGGGGCCTTCTGGGGGCGTTTTGTGACCGTCTTTGGCGCCTTTTTGGGCGGTCTTGGAGACCTCTTGGGCCGTTCTGGGGCTTCCGTAGAGGCCTCTTCGGCAATTTTGGGGCGGTCTACGGGGCTTCTTGGGCCGTCTTGGAGCATCGGAAGCTCGAGAAGACGATAACCCTAGAAACAACATAAGATCTATAATATATATATATATATATATATATATATATTAGGACAACCATGGATGTTTGTCTCTCGGGGCCCTTCTGGGAAGGCTCTTGGGCCTCTCCTTGGGGCGTCTTGAAGGCCTCTTGACGCGTCTTGGAGCCATCGCAGGCGTCTTGGGCCAATCGCTCGGCGATTCGGGACGGACTTGGCGCGTCGTCGAGGCCACGGAAGGCAGATCTGGAAGCTCCCCGAATCCCTGGGGGTGCGCCAGGGAGCCCAGATACTCCCCCGCCCCTCCCTCAAACGAGATTTTGGACCATGGGGGAGGGGGAACGGGGGAGGGGACAGCCAGTCATCTCGCACGCCTTCTCATCCCCCCCCTCCCTCAAGCGAGATTTTGGACCGTGGGGGAAGGGGAAAGGGGGAGGGGGCAGCCAGTCATCTCGCACGCCTTCTCATCCCCCGCAGGCGGGGGGCGGCGGATTTCGAGCTCTGGAGAGGTCATCCTAGTCATTTTGGTCATCCTTGTCATTTTGCTTCTGGGCCTGGGGTAGCTCCCGGTGCTCGATTTTCAGCACTGGTGTATATTTTCTGTATTTTTGCTGCGCGCCCTCCCCCCATGCCTTCTTTGAAGGTTCCCCCCAACTCGCTCGAAAGTTGCCTTCGGCTTCTAACCTCGCTCCATTTTGGATGCCGCCGTGGCCCTCAAGCAGGCCGAGGCCCCGTCGCCCCCTGCCCGCGTGTCAACGGGCAGGGCAAAAGACACGCAGAAGCAAGAGGAAGAGGAGGAGGAGGAGAAGGACGAGGATTATGATGATGATGATGATGATGATGATGATGATGATGATGATGACGATAATGATGATGCTGATGCTGATGCTGATGCTGATGCTGATGCTGATGCTGCTGATGGTGATGATACTAATGCTGATGATGATGATGCTGATGCTGCTGCTGCTGATGATGCTGACGATGCTGCTGATGATGCTGCTGATGCTGATGATGCTGATGCGGATGATGATGATGTTGATGATGATGATGATGGCAAGATGGTGGTGGTGGTGGTGATGATGATGGTGATGATGATGATGCCAGTGGTGGTGGTGATGCCGATGATGATGATGATGATGATGATGATGGAGGCGATGATGATAATGCTGCTGATGATGCTGCTGCTGATGCTGATGCTGCTGATGATGCTGATGCTGATGATGATGCTGATGATGCTGATGATTATGATGATGATTATGTTGATGATGATGCAGGTGATGATGATGTGGATGCCGATGATGATGATGCTGACGATGATGGTGGTGATGATTATGGTTGTGATGATGATGATGATGTTGATGCTGATGCAGACGAGGGAGATTGTGATGGTGAAGATGATGATGATGATGATGATGATGATGATGATGATGATGATGATGATGATGATGATGATGATTGCGATGATGATGCTGCTGCTGGTGATGCTAATGATGCTGCTAATGCTGATGCTGCTGCTGATGATGATGCTGATGCTGATGATGGTGGTGGTGGTGATGATGGTGATAATGATGATGATGTTGATGATGATGCTGATGCTGCTGATGATGATGATGGTGGTGGTGGTGGTGGTTGTGGTAATGTTGATGGCCGTTACGATGATGATTTTGACGATGATGCTGCTGATGATGATGCTGATGATGCTGATGATGATGCTGGTGATGATGATGTTGATGATGCTCATGATGCTGATGGTGCTGATGATGATGCTGATGCTGATGATGATGATGATGGTGGTGGTGATGATGATGGTGGTGATGATGAGGATGATGATGATGATGATGTTTCTGATGATGATGATACCGATAAGGACGAGGATGATTGTGACGCTGATGATGCTGCTGCTGCTGCTGATCTGATGCTGATGTTGAGATGATCATGATGCTGATGATGATTATTGCGAAGGCCTGACGGCCGGTGCCGCCGACCCTGTTCGCAATGCGCAGCAAGAGGCACGGGCTGTGGGATGGTTTGGGGGAACGGGGAGAAGGACGAGAAGGTGGGGGAGGGAGGTGTCGTATCTGACCCGGGACTTCCCCGGGACTCCCCCGGGACCCCCCCCGGGACCTCCTCTCCCCCCCCCGTCGGGGAAGGGAAAGGGAAGGGGCTTCCCTTCGACTCAATGACGACGTTGCTCAAGGTCGGTACGGGGGGGGGGCGTCGTATCTGACTCGGGGGGGGGGTGAAAGGGAAGGGGCTTCCCTTCGACTCAATTACGAGGTTGCTCAAGGTCGGCTTGGCTGGAGCCCAGGGGAAGAGGAGTCCCAGGGGGGGGCGTCGTATCTGACCCGGGGGGGGGGTCGCTACCCCCCACAAAGGGAAGGGGCTTCCCTTCGACTCAATTACGAGGTTGCTCAAGGTCGGCTGGAGGGCGGGGGAAGGAAGGGGGGAAGGGGCTTCCCTTCGACTCAATTACGAGGTTGCTCAAGGTCGGCTTGGCTGGAGCCCAGGGGAAGAGGAGTCCCAGGGGGGGGCGTCGTATCTGACCTGGGGGGGGGGTCGCTGATGTTGAGATGATCATGATGCTGATGATGATTATTATGCTGATAATGATGATGCTGATGCTGATGATGCTGATGGTGATGCTGATGATGCTGATGGACATTTACATTATGCTGGTGATGCTGGTGATGATGATGATGATGATGATGATGATGATGATGATGACGATCATGATGCAGATGATGATGTTGGTGGTGGTGTTGATGATGTTGATGATGTTGATGATGATGCGGATGCCCGTGATGATGAAGCTGCTGCTGATGATGCTGATGATGCTGATGCTGCTGCTGATTATGATGCTGATGATGCTGATGATGGTAATGATGATTATGATGCTGACGGGGATGATGACGACGATGCTGATGATGCGGATGACGATGATGCTGCTGATGATGGTGATGCTGCTGATGGTGCTGATGCTGACGATGATGATGGTGGTGGTGATGATGATGATGCTGATGATGATGATGCTGAGGATGGTGATAATTCCTATGCTGGCGATGATGATGCTGCTACTGATGCTGATGCTGATGATGATGCTGATGATGATGATGCTGATGATGCCGATGCTGATGATGCTGATGATGTTGCTGATGGTGCTGACGATGATGATTATGATGTTCGTGGTGGTGATGTTGATGGTGATGATGGTGGTGATGATGGTGGTGATGATGATGATTTTGACGATGATGATGATGATTGTGAGGATGAGGACGATTGGTATGATGATGCTGATGATGATGCTGATGCTGATTATGATGCTGATGCTGCTGATGATGCTGATGATGATGATGATCCCGATGCTGATGATGATACTGATAATGATGGTGGTGGCGCTGATGATGATGATGATGATGATGAGGAGGATGTTGAAGCTGCTGCTGATGATGCTGATGCTGAATGCTGCCGATGCTGCTGCTGAGCATGATGCCGATGCGGCTGATGATGATGATGATGCCGATGCGGCTGATGATGCTGATGATGTTGATGCGGATGATGATGCTGATGATGGTAATGATGATGAGGCTGATTGTGATGATGATGCTGATGCTGACGATGATGATGCTGTTGATGATGATGATGCTGATCATGGTTCTTCTGCTGGTGATGATGATGCTGATGCTTATCATGATGATGGTGCTGCTGATGGTGATGATGCTGATGCTGCTGATGATGGTGATGATGCTAATGGTGGTGATGATGGTGGTGCTGATGATGATGCTGATGACGATGCTGCTGACGATGATGATGCTGGTGATGCTGGTGATGCTGATGATGATGCGGATGACGATGATGACGGTGGTGGTGGTGATGTTGATGATGATTGAGGTGAGGATGATGATGGACGATGTTGATGATGATGTTAATGATGATGAGGCTGCTGATGCTGATGATGATGATGCTGATGATGATGCTGATCTTGATGATGATAATGATGATGATGATGATGGTGATGATGAGGATGATGATGATGATGAGGATGATGCTGATGCTGATGATGATGCTGCGGTTGATGATAACGCCGATGCTGCTGATGATTATGCTGATGCTTATCATGATGATTGTGATTATAATACTGATGAGGCTGATGATGCTGATGCTGCTGATGATGATGATGGTGGTGATGATGCTAATGCTGCTGATGATGATGCTGCTGATGATGATGATGCTGATGATGCTGATGCTGATGACGAGGGTGGTGTTGGTGTCGGTGCTGATGTTGGTGATGGTGGTGGTGATGAGGATGACGATGATGATGATAATGCTGATGTTAATGCTGCTGATGATGATGCTGCAGATGGCGATGATGCTGCTGCTCATGATGATGCTGCTGATGATGATGCTGATGCTGATGCTGATGATGCTGCTGATGATGATGCTGATGATGCTGATGATGATGATGCTGATGCTGATGATGATGGTGGTGATGATGCTGATGATGATGATGGTGAGTGTGATGATGATTATGATGAGGATGGGAGTGATGATGATGATGAGGAAGAATATGATTGTGATGATGGTGATGCTGATGCTGATGATGCTGATGCTGATGCTGATGATGCTGATCATGATTATGATGTTGCTGTTGCTGCTGATGGTGATGCGGCTGATGCTGATGATGCTCATGACGGTGTCCAGGATTGTAATGATGATGATGCCGATGCTGATGATGATGTTGGTGCGTCTGATGATGATGATGATGGCGGTGATGATGATGATGATGATGATGCTGATGATGGAGGTGATGATGATGCTGCTGATGATGCTGCTGATGATGATGCTGTTGATGATGCTGATGCTGATGCTGATTATGATGCTGCTGGTGATGATGATGAGGCTGATGCTGCTGATGATGATGCTGATGCTGATGCTGCTGATGATGATGATGCTGACGCTGATGCTCATGATGATGCTGCTGATGACGATGGTGGTGATGATGCTGATGATGATGCTGCGGGTGATGCTGCTAATGATGATGCTGATGCTGATGCTGATGAGGATGTTGATGTTGATGATGTTGATGATGCTGATGATGCTGCTGATGATGAAGGTGCTGATGGTGACGATGGTAGCGGTGATGAGAATGATGATGATGGTGGTGGTGGTGAGGATGTGGATGATCATGAGGATGACGATGAAGCTGCTGATAATGACAATGTTGATGTTGCTGATATTGGTGATGATGCTGCTTATGATGATGACGCTTTTGTTCCTGATGCTGATGGTGTTGCGTATGATGCTTATGCTAATGATGGTGGTGGTGATTATGATGGTGATGATGCTGATGCTGATGATGATGGTGATGACGATGATGTTGGTGGTGGTGGTAATGATAATGCCGATGATGAGGACGATGATGAGGATGAGGATGAGGATGATTATGATGATGATGATGGAGGTGATGATGATGCTGATGAGGTTGCTGCTGATGCTGATGCTGATGCTAATGATGCTCAATATGATGCTGATGCTGATGCTAATGATGCTGATGCTGATGATGCTGATGGTGCTGATGATGATGATGGTGATGATGATGCTGATGATGATTATGGTGGTGGTAGTGGTGATGATGAAAATGAGGATGATAGTGGTTATGCTGATGATGACGACGATGATGATGATCATGATGATGATGGGTATGATGCTGATGATGGTGCTGCTAATGATGGTATGCTGAAGATGATGATGCCGATGATGTTGATGATTATGATTATGATGATGGTGATGATGATGTCGCTGGTCATGATGTTGACGATGCTGCTGATGA